TGCAAATCAAACACAGCTCATTAATATCGAATATTTAATAATAGTATAGACATATATATATATATATATATACAAATATATAGATGGTAAATCCATTCTATTTTAATTAAGTAAATTAGAGAATATAGATCGTATGCATTACCTATGGTAACTTCATTCCATGTTAAAGAAATAACAATAAAGTATATTACAGAATATAGATATGACGTATTACCTATAGTTACCATAGGTAGGCCTTCTATTTTCAAAGAAAATCAATTAATATATTACTGAATCTAGATCTCAAGTATCACCTATGGTAACTCTCTTCCGACTCTGCTGCAGTGCATAATTCTTTGGCTGCTGCTGCTGCTGTTACTGTGGCTTCTCGGACTGCCTCTCGATGGGAAACGGCTGGGATGTGCCATTGGGACAAATGGAATGGGTCGCCAGTTGTAGCTCCGGCCACCTGCCACCCCGTGGCAACTCGTGCGTGCAACGCTCTTCATTAAACATATGTAGATGCGCTGGCTTACGAGCAGTTGCCGCAGCGAACGCGCCCCGCTCCCCGTCCAGCACCCTCTCACGCCGAACTGCTGCAATCGCATTGTGAATCGGATGCAACGATTAAAAATTAAATGTTGTCGTATTAACAAACAAGCTACACCCGCTGCCAGTTGGCAGTGGCATCTTCGACCACAGAAGTGTTGCCATGAAAGAGAGACGTTCGATGGCGCTGGGCTGCACTTCACTGGCTTCACTGACTTTCCGCATGGAAGTATGCCGAGCTGAAAATCCTTTTGTGCATGTAAAATGCATGGAGGGCTGGCGTGGCGGACGCGCGACGTGTGAAATTTATGCACATATGTTGAATGCATTTAAGCCAACGAGCGGACAGAAGGCGAGAGTCAGAGAGGGCGACAGAGAGGGGCAGAGGGTGAGCCATGTGGAGGGCAATGGACAACGGACTGGATGCAGTGCAGTCCATAGACTGCCAGACTGCCAACATTAAGACTCTCGGCTAGGTGATCAAAATTCATGGAAAATCAAGCAAAGCGCGCATATATTTCGGCAACGGCAGCGGCAAAACGGAATAAAAAAAATATGAAAATGAAATTGTTGGAAAATTGCAATGGCAATGGCAGTGGCACTGGCAATGACTGTGAACAGAGCAGCTCGAGAGTGCCACGAAGCCAAGGCACAAGTTGCAGCAGGACGTTCAGGCGAGTTAAATGAGTTGGAAATGCATTTGGCTTGCATGACACTTGGCATGGGCAAAGCTAATGGCCAAAAGCATAGCTGCTGCTGCTCATATTGATGATGTGGCTGCTGCTGCTGGCAGTCATTAAGGCCAAAAAATATGCTGGCCCCGTCCTTCGCTGATGAATTGACGCCACTCAGCCAAGCTTCTCAAGTTTTTCCAATCAATTAACAATCGGAATTTCCTCTTTCTATATTTTTATTCATATATATTTTTATTTTTATTTTTATTTTAATACTGTTAAATTGCCATGACCCAAAGGGCCGCCAATGCGATCCTACAGTTGCATCATTAAAAATTTAAAAATATATATATACATGGAAGACCTAAAGAAAATATTGCGCAACTTCAGGTTTTTTTTTCTTCACATAAATAATAATAAAATGTAAAGTCACTTCGTTGGGCCGCTAAATAAGTAAGTAAAGAGCGCATCACAGAAAATAAAGCTAAATTATAATAGCGCATAATTGCTGAAATACTTAAGCTATTGATAGAGACTTTGGCCACAAAGGGGCTTGTTAGCATGGTCGTGCATATAAAGCTCAGCTGGATCGCTCTATTTAGCCAACTTGTCGATTTGTCACTTTCACTTGACAAGCATTTCATTAGCCTAATTTTTCGCTATTCGATTGTCGATCAAAGACTTGCCGAAAGACCGTGCTGCCCTCTGCTTGCCTTTAATACCTTCCCGGAAGCTCATAGAAGATTAAATTCATCTTAGCGATGAACGAGTATTGTGCAGTCGAATAAGCTCGACTTCAATACTCGACTGACTTATTTTATTTGTGTGATTTGCTAAGCAAACGGCATGCTTGGCCAACTGGCGCACGCGGCGTATGCGCAACGTTCATGTTTCATATAATGGCTGCAATTGACGTTGACTTTTGCCCAGCGCAGTTCGGTTGTGTCTAGAATTGTGCTTTATTTCCCATACAGCTCACAGAGTTTCATAATATCCATTTGAGTAATCAGATATGAGTATTTGAGTGTCGGAATTGGACACAAATATAGAATAGAATCACCCGATTCTAAGAGACTTCAGTTCTATTGAATTTGGTTGTATGTGAATTTTGATGTGCACACAATTTATACAAGCGGACGTTGAAGATTTGACATGGAGTACGACATGTCGACTAAGGCCCGGACCTGGCTTTGGCACTTGTTGCAAAAGCACTTCATTTTGATGGCTGCTGGCAGGGCTGTGGCGGATTGGCACTGTTCAGCGAAATAGGCCTCAACTGCCGCCTGTTGGCTGCGGAACATGGCCTCGAGACGCTGCTTCAGCTGCTCCGCACTGCTGAGAGGGGTCTGGGGCATCTCGCTGAGCACTGCCTCCTCGCTGGGCTCTAGCTCAGTTGGCTCTATTGAGGGCTGTGTGCTGGTCGAATATACCGATGATTCGTTTTCGCCGGCTGGACGCCGATCCTGACCGTTGGGCCCGAACGGCGGCATCGGCAGTGGGAACGGATCGTTTGCTGTCATACTGATTTCGGCAAAGCTCTTGGCCAGGCGATACAGCTCGTCGGTGTTGCCAGCAACGAGGGCGCTGGAGTCAAAGTACCAGGGTATTTTGGCCTTGTAAAATGCCGACTCCAGCAGCATATAGTTGTGCATCGAATCGTTGGCGTTCGCTGGCCGATTTATGACCAGTATGCTGGCCAGTGCTCCAGGTCGCAGCTTGCCCATCAGGCGGCACCAGACCACTCCGTTGCTGAGATCCTTGAGCTTGTGACAGCGCGGACTGTGCACCAGTCCCTTAATCCACTGCAACAGCTGCCTCGCCTCGTCCTGGCCTTGCGATACTGCAACAAAAAGTCGATTAAATCGATTTAATCACCAAAAAAATACAAATCTCGGCTGCTAAAGTCCACTCACTGCTATGCATGTCGGGGTGATTTCTTATTCCAAACCAAATTTGTGTTAATCACTTGAAATTTTAAAAATGTTTCTATCTGGATTACTGCGTTCGAATTTTCGAGTTAGACGTAATACTCGTTAACAGTTCGTCTCTCAACCGAAAAAAAACAAGCGAACAAACTAAAATCAAAAACAAAAACAGTCGGGCCTTGCCAACTGCAGAATACTCTTTCAGATCCCATTAGCAATTTACTAGCTAAGATTAGCTCTAATAATGTAGAAAATGCAGTTTTACTCGGCGCCTACTGGGCGCCTCCATAGCTTGTTGATCTTGGGTGTTCGCTGCAGATCTGCAGTGCAAATTTCAGATTTCAATCTCATCACGCCCCTAGAGGAAGGATCAGGTATCACTTTACAAGTCGGAGATACGCACGAGTATGTGTCCCATAGCTTCACTATTTCCGAAATAAATTGCGTTCATACGGACTGACAGACGGACGCACAAGACGGACATTCATAAAACCAATATACTCATTTCACTTTAGTGAATGAGTATAAAAAATAGTTGAAAAACTTCCTATTTCGCTCTGCCTTTCGACGGCTCTTCTCCCTCCGTTCGCCAATTAACACATTTACGTGGCCAGTGACCAATTGGCCAATAGGCCCAGCGCACTTAACTCGTCTACAATGGGTCAATTTGGCTCAAAATCAAATGAATAGCATATTGTGCACGTTTCGATTGAACTGAATGTTGATTCGCAGCCGCATAACTTCCAAGTGCTCGGCACTCAGGCACTCTCAATTCATTCGATGGATGTGTGAAACATTAGTTTATGACTATTGGAAACTTGATAGCTCTCAGCTTTGCATTCATCAAGTGACTAAGCAATGTTTTGCCCACAGTTATAAATGAATATAGATGAAGTCTCATCATAAATTGGATTTTAAAGCTGGAAATATATTGCAATTTCTGTGAGCAGTTCTTAATTCATTCATTCATTTAGTTCATTTTAAAGTAAATTTGTATATTCAAATGCGATTCTTAATGCTTCAACTATATTTAAATTTCAATTCATTCATTCATATATTTATTCATAAGATATCTATTCATTCTATTCATTCGATGAATACTCAGAGTCTCTTATTTATAGCTCTTAATGCTTCAGCTATATTTAAATTTCGTAGACCACAATTTGTGATTCATTAAATTCATTCATTCATATATTTATTCACATTATATGCATTCATTCATTCAGCTCATTTTCAAGTAAATTTTTCTATTAAAATACACTGAAATATAATTTGACAAACAGACATCACACACACACCCACGCACACCCACACACGTACACCTCTGTCTATTTACTAGTTTAGTTCTGTGTGTGGTACGTAGTGGCTCTTAAAAAATCTCTTGTATATTCTTTGTGCTTCCTGTGGCTTGCGCCGCTGACTGTGTGCTGTGGTCAAGGCGGCCCCATTCGAGGCGCCCATTCTAGCTGCCATTCCCGTTACCATGCCTATGAGCATAGCCAGCTTCAGTAGCAGTGCCAGTGCCAGTACCAGTACCAGTCCCATTGGCGTTACCATGTCCGATCCCCTAGTACACATTGCCATTTGCTGGCAGCATGCAAATGAACGTTGGCCGGATACGGCACGTGCTCTCATCGGCTTCTCTCCTTTGGGGCGGTTGCCGTCACCTTTATGCGGCCATTCCGTTTCGCCACTGGCCGAAAGAGGCCGCACGGCAGCGGCAGCAGCAGCAGCAGCAGTTAGCCAGCTCCTGCGCGCAGTTGGACATGGCGCAGTGTTTTTGTTAGAGACGGCGCCATCCTGTTGCAGGATGTGGTACGGTTACCTGCGCTTTCCAGCGCGCACACAAATAAAATGCAAACAATGCTTGTTTCATTTGCGTAATAAAATATTTATACAGGTATTTAGTTAGCCGGACTCCAAGAGAGCGAGAGAGAGAGAGAGAGAGAGAGGGAGAGAAGTAAAATAACAGCACAAAAATACCCGCGCCAAGAGAACGAAAATTAAGCAAAATGCCACGAAAAAAATGGCAAAAATACAAAAAAAAAAAAAGGCCACAATAAAAAAGGAGAGAGGAAAAACCAGAGAAGAGAGAACATAAACGAACCCAAGGAAATAGACAGCTGCCCGCGGATGTGGCAGCAGCAGAAGCGAAATTTTTAGCCAAATGAACAACTTTAATAAAAAGCTGGCAATCTCTTTGAAGCCGCTGCTGTGTGACCCATTGTTTTGGCCGAAAACAAAAAACGTCTAGACGTCATTTCTCAGCCGAGAGTCGCTCGAACACTCCACGCTGCCCACTCCACTCTCCTCGACTCCAGCTGCCACAGACTGCGCCTCGTCCTGTCGCAGCTCGCGATATGTTAGATAAATCAGCACGCGCTGCGATTTGCCCTGACTTCACAGGCCGTTGCAGTCGCAGTTATCCCCGAGAATTATGGCCATGACGTGGATATTGCTTTCATTTATCATTGCGCCAACATTAACCGACCGAACAGCCCCCCTCCCTCACCCACAGCTGACCGCACCAACCGAATTAAGCTGCCCATCTCAAGAAACATATTGTTTGAGCTTCATGATTTTTCAATTGGATTAAAGCCTTTTTGTAGACCGATCAGATAGGAAAATGGGCAATTTGGGCATCTCGTGGCTGACAGGCAGCAGGAGGCGTGGATTATGTTAATTCAGTGAGACGAGCTGGCCCAGCACTTTCCGTCCGTCTCTCCATCCGATCGTCTTTATATTCATCTGTCCATACGTTCGTCTGCTCTTTCGTCTGTCCGTTTGTCTGTTCATCTGTCTGGCCGTCTATCCTTCTTACTTTCCGTCCAGCCGTTTGTTCTGTCCGTTTGTCTCTTCGTCTGTCTGGCCGGTTATGCCTCTGTCTGTCCGTCTGTTTGTCCCACTGTCACTCCGTTTGTCTGTTCGCAAGTCTGTCCGTGAATTCCTCCTTCTGTCTGTCTATCCATTCATCCATCTATCCGTCTTTCCGTCCGTCTGTTCATACGTCTGTCGTTTCGTCTAATCGTCACTCCGTCTGTTTATTCCTCCGTCTGTCTTTCTAATTCTTCGACTGTTCGTTTTTCTGTCTCTCTGTCTGTCTTACCATTCGTTCGTCTTTCCGTCCGTCTATCCATTCGTTCGTCCTTCCGTCCATCTGTCTCACTCTCCGCCTGATCCTCCGTCCGTCCGTTTGTCTGTCTATTCATCCATCTGTTCCTTCAACCGTTCGTCAGTTCGTCTTTCTGTCTCTCCGTCCGTCTCATCGCCCGTCTGTGGTAGCTACAAAAATACTCCCGAGATCCAAGGCTTTCATTCATTATTGAGTTGAGCTATTCATTTTTATTGCTTCCAGTTTAGTTTAATTTTCATTAGAGAATTGCACGTTTTGAGCCACTGTTTCGTTAGGCGAATACTAAAGTGTTTCGTATGCCTCGAGTGTGCTAAGTGTTTGCGCAGTGCTGTTGGCGTTTTCCTTCTGGCTGCAAATGGTTTTCCAAATTCCAGGTGCTGCTGAGCCCAAGTGGTTATCTTGGCCAGGGCTGTGCACGTTGGCTCTCTGAATAGGACGGCGGGCGGCTTTGCAACTGCAACGTGCTTTATCGCAGAGACGCTAATTAATCTGTGACGCCTTCAACTCCATTGTTGCGGCTGCTGCATCTTCGTGCAGGTCGAACTGATGGCACGGCCCACCCGCCGCCGCCGCCGCCTCCTGCTGCTGCTGCTGCTGCCTTTTTGCGATGCTGTAAACATTTTTAACACGTTTTTGCGAAACGGAAATTCTTCTAATATTTTTACATAATTTTATGTGCGACTACAACAAAAGGCAGAGGCAACGCCAACGACAACGACGACGACGACGACGACGTCTGCAATGACAATTAACAAAATAAACAAAATGTAGCAAAAAATGCGAGTGAGTGAGTGAGTTGTAGGCTGTGGGCTATCTGCCACTTGAGCGAGTGAAGGAGGGGCGGGGCCGAGTGGGGCGTGGGCTTTGTGATGTGAGCTGTGGGGTGACGGGGCGCCGGGTTCGGCACTCGCATCAGGGGTTGACATTCGCTGGACGGGGGGTCGGGGTCTCAGCCCCACTCTTGCCGTGGCACACAAACGGCGCATTTTAATGTGCGGTCAACAGTCAGGCAACGTCTAAATTTGAAATGTCAGCATTGTCAACGGCAATTTAGTCGCAACGCGGTGACAACACCAACAACAACAGCCAACAACAGCAACAGCAATCAGAATGAGTAGTTTGCTTTTTTTAAGCATCGTCGTTTGAATACACTTCAATCACTAAAATGCATATGCAAATATATACAGATATGCACGACCCGACTGAGTCTGGTTTGGGAACAATGGAAAGTCTGGCGAGTTTATGGCTCGAGAGATAAAAGTTTGTAATATAGACTAGAGCTAACGATTAGCTGTCCGGCATTGATTTAGAGGTAATTACCGTTAACTTATACGTGCACGGTATATACATACCATTAACATAGGGATTACATGAACAGACCTAGTATAAATATACTCTATGCATACATTGTAGTATTCATGCCATATACATACATGTACGTATATGTATGTATTAGAGAGATGATATATGCAAATAAACTGTCTAAGTAGTGTTTAAGAAAAGTATACATACTAAACTACATACTACAAAGTATTTAATGCATAGCACACACATATACACCTGCATACATACATTATAAAATACATCATATATAACACAAAATGCCTTACTCTAATGACAGTTGTATGTTCTAGTAAATAATATATAATATACATAGTATAGAGGACTGTCCCTATTCGACGTACCGTATCTAGCCACTTTACTAGATTGACCATAATCGACGGGCCCATGCTCATGTTTTTTAAATCAAAGAAAAACACAATTAGATTGATGTTGATAATAATAATATTTATTTCATTTGGTTACATTAGATTTGATGACATTAATTTTGATATGATATCTCTCAACTGGTCGATATAAGATCGCATCATAATTAACTGAAAACAATATAACATTCTATATACCATATCAATACCAAAATAAATTGTATATGTAC